TTGTTCGGGAGCATGCTTAATTTGCCACATTTGTGAACTTTTCTAAATTCTTCCTGTTATTGATTTCTAGTTTCATGGCACTGTGGTTGGAAAACATTCTTGATATGATTTCCATGTTCTTAAATATGCTGACTTGATTTGTGACCTAACACACTATCTATCCTGGAGAGTTCTATATACTTTTGAGAAACATGTATATTCTGCTGTTGTTAAATGAAATGTTCTATATTTATCCATTAAGTTCAGTCAACCTAAAGTACAGTTCAAGCCTAATGTTTCTTTATCAATTTTCAGTCTAAATGATCTGTCCATTGTTGAAAGTAGGGCATAAATATACCATGCTATTATTGCATTGCTGTCTCTATCTCCCTTAAGATCTATTAATATTTGCTTTATATATTTATGAGCTCTAGTATTGGGTTTAATATGTGTTTACAATGGTTTAATCCTCTTAGTAAGTTGACCCCTTTATCTTTGTACATAATGTGGCAATTTATTTCTTGTGGCAGATTTTGAATTAAATTCTTTATTTTTCCCCCTTATCTCTGAAAGACAGCTTTGCTGAGAATTTTTGGTTGTCAGGTTTAGTTTTTTCCCTCAACACTTTAAATATATCATCCTCACACTCTTCTGATCTGCATAGTTGCAACTGAGAAGACCACAGGTAGACTTATTAGAATTCCTTTGTTTGTGTTAAGGTTCCTTTTCTTTTTGTGATTTTAAGATTATGTATTTGCCTTTAATTTTTGACAGTTTCAATATAATGTGCCTTGGTGAACTATTTTGGATTAAAACTTATTGTAGACCTTTGAACTTTATGTGCCTAAATGCTCATATTTTTCCTAGGATTGGGATAGTTTTTAGCCATTTTAATAAGTTTTCTGTTCCTTTTTTCTCTTCTTCTTATTTCCATTCTAATATACAAGTATTAGCTTTCTTCATATTTTCTCAGATCCCACACAAGTTTTCATTCTTTCTGTTTTCTCCTCTAAATGGTTCATCTCAAATTTCTATTCCAGTTTGTTTATTCTTTCTTCTGTTGATCTAGTCTGCTTTAAAAGCTATCAACTGAATTTTTAAATTCAGCAATCATATATTCCATCGCTAATATTCCTGTTTAGTTCCTTTATTTATTTTCAATCTTTTGGTTGAGCTGTTTATTTTTCTCTTGTGTGTTTTCATGATTTTATTAAGTTGTTTATCTTTGTTCTCTTTTAGTTCATGGAACTTCTTTTAAATAATTATTTTTACTTCTTTCTCAGGCAATTCAGTGACCTTCAGTTCTTTGGGGTCTGTGCTAGAAGTTTATTTTGTTGCTCTGGTGGTGTCATGTTTCCATGATTCTTCATAATCATTATAACCTTGCACAGGTGTCAGTTCATTTGAAAAAGTAGTCACCTCTTACAGACTTTTTATAGATTGGCATCAGTAAAAAAATTTTCACCTTCAGAATGGGGGAACAGGACACGTGGGTGGGTGTATGCTATAGCACCATGTCTAATGTGGAGGGTGCCATGTTTGGTGGCATACAGTATTTTCAAGTCTTTGAGGAAATAATGTCTCATGGGCTTGGACAGTTGAGGTCTGTAACATCAGCAGCAACTGTGTGGCCCATGGACACAAGAGCTATGAGAGGTCCAGGTATCTTTGAAGGCTCTTGGATTCTTTAGTGGTAACACTGGGTCCACTGCCAAGTGGCCAAGACAGGTGGCAGTTGGAAGCCCATGCTCAGATGATAAATCCAGATAACGGATGAAGCTAACTGCAGACACATATGGGGTAGTTAGGCTGTCAGTGTGTACTTGAGCAATTTGTATGGGTCAGCTGTGGAATGGAGTCTAGCCAGTTGCATGCAAAAGGGTATGCTATGAATGCAATGGGAGTGAAAAAAAAAAACCCTTTAGGATTCTATTTTGTCACCGTTGGAAGAATGACACATAATTATAAAAATTCCTTCTCACTCTATTAGCATTCAGCATTCATATTTAAATGTATGCTGGGGTTTGCAGCAGAGAGCTTGAGCCCATTTGCAAGCACACATGTGGCGGTTGTGTGGTACTAAGCCAGAACATCCACAACAGCAGCAGCTGAAATGGTTGTAGATGGGGAAGGGTAGATTTGGCTCAGCACTGGGAGACCATGAAGGCAAAACTCTGTGGGGCCTTCAGTGGTGAAATATTCAGGAAATCTGTGGTGTCTGTGCTGGCTGTTTGCTTCCTCAGCAGTGAAATATACAGAAAGCCTGGGAGAGCAAGCCACCTGGTAGTCTTTGATAGCAAACACCATGGGGTCCTTGGCCATGAAAATGTGAATGATACATAACCACCAAGAGGACTTTGGTGATCTTCAGTAAAGAAAACTGATGAAGTCTTGTGCAGAACAGGACATTGAGGATCATGGTGTCTCCTGCCCCATGGCTGCTATTGATATCTTTCATCTTTATTTCCAGCTGTCTTTAGACTTAACAATTATGCTAATCTCTATGGTGACCTAGGGAGAATGAAATTGAAACTGCTATCCCAGAAAGTACCCCCAAAGGATTAGGGAAGTTAGTTATTCAACCCACTTTTTTTTCCCTGTTAGGGGAACTTGCAAACCAGGGAGTTCTCTCTTTGTGCTATCTAGAGGATGGGTGGTGCAGTCAAAATGTATAATTATTCTTTGCTTTTTTTTTATTCTACTGTATTGCTGCTGCATCTTAAATGGGCTCTTGAACTCTTTCAGGCTTATTTTCATTCATGAATAGCTACCATATTATTTTTTAAAAATAGTTTCAGTCTCTTTATTGAGCTTTCCTGATTTTGTTGAGTCGTCTATCTGTCTTCATAGTTTGCTGAGCTTCCTTGAAACAATTATTTTGAGCTCTTTGTCAGGTGTCTTAGTCCATTTTCTGCTGCTATAACAGACCTGATTCTGGAGACTAGAAAGTACAAGAACATGGCACAAGCAACTGGCAATGATCTTGTACTGTATATTATTGCAGTAGCAGGTGAAAGGGTTAGAATAAGACAGCAAGAAGAGCAAGGATGAGATCAGGTCACTTTTATAACAACTGATTTTCCCTACTCCAATGACAGTGACACTAATCCATTCCTGAGGGTGCCACTCTCATAATCCAATCACCTCTCATTAGGCCCCCACCACCAACACTATTGCATTAGGGATTAAATTTTAACATGTGTTTTGGAGCAGTCAAACCATAGCATCAGGCAAATCATAGATCTGACAAATCATTCTGTGTTGAAGGAAATAAGGCTGGGATTTCCTACTACACCATCTTGCTGATGTCACCTTCCAAAAGGTTAGCTCTCTTGATAGTGTCCCACAAATTCCAAAGGCTTTATTCATCCCTTTTTACTCTTTTCCCACTCATCCTTTGACTAGATATTTAGAGCTGATTTCTCTTCAAATTGATCTTTCTTCAAGTACATAGGTTCTTTCTTTGGCTTGATCAAGTTTGTTGTTGATTCTTCTTGTTACATTTTTTCTTTTCATCAATTGTTTTCTTCAACTTCAGACTTTCTGTTTGGTTCTTGATAGCCCCCAGAAATCTGGAGCATGCTGAGTTCCATCAGCCTTAAGAGATAGGCAAGTCATAAGCCAATTCCTTATGCAGCCCCACCTCAGTGTAAAATCAGAACTTTGGATGCCCAGGTGCAGTCTCCCATTTTCCTCCTCAGGAAAAATCCAGGAGCTAGCTGGCTTTTTTCTCTTATCATGTAGCAGCACTGTGCCAGGGAAAGGAACTATGTCAAAAAGGTACCAAGAAATTCCTTGAATTTTGTGTGGCTTGTTTCTTGCTCTACTATGGCACAAAGACTTGTAACTGACTTTTGTATTCCAACAAGGGAAATTTTCCATATATTATTTCTGAATTGGTGTCTCCACTGAGAGGTAGGAGAATTTGTGAGTTCCTTTTCTGCCATCTTCCTGATATAATCTTCATAGACTTTATTTATTGGATCATTCATCATTTTCCAGCACTGTTTAAAAAATATTTTAAAACAATATCAGTGATAAAGTAACACTGGCTAATCCTTACCAATTTCCATGTGCCAGGCATTGATAAAATTAATTTACTATGGTTATTAATTTAATAGGTGACAAAACTGAGAAACAGAAAGATTAAGGATATTTTCTAAACTCATGGACCAAAATAGAGCTATGATTCCAATCTAAGCCATCCATATCCACAGACCACGTTCTCAATATTCCATCATGATACTCAGTACATATTTGTTGAATGGATCAGTGAGTTCCAAACTGAACTTTTCCTGTGTTTTCTTCTATGTTTCACTATTGAAATTGTTTTCAGAAGCCATACCTGACATGTTACATGCACTTTCCCTGTCAATTTGAATTTTAAATTCCTCACTTACAACCTCTTATGCAGTGTGTGGCTGCCCTGCTTTATTCTACCAGGAAATCCCTCAACTTCTTTCACAGTCTTCACCTCAAATGTAGCCAACCTTGACATGAAGATAGATAGTCACTGGAATCCAAAAATGTCATTCATTCATTTCAGATCATAGACCATCTTCAGGACCAAAAATCTTTAATGAGACTCTAAAGGGTTTTCACCTCACTTAACAAGTGGAGAGCTGAAAGAAAGTAAGCAAATATCATAATGAAATATTACTGGAACCAAAAGACTTTATCATAGCTTTAGCGGTTAATTATTTTACATATGAACGTATTTGCAATTGGCTAACTTTTCACTTGGGACATAAATTCTGATAATTTTTATAGAGATAGTATATTTTATTTGTACACTATGAATGCAATGTGAATAAAAAAAACTTTAGGATTCTATTTTGTCACTCTGGGAAGAATGACACTTCATTATAAAAATGCATTCTCACTCTTACTCTATTAGTATTCAGCATTCATATTTAAATGTATGCCTTTTGCAGCAGGATTCAAACTTTATACATCAATACTCACAAAAAGAATTAGATCACAATCTAATTTGACAGGTTGATATTTATACTTTATTCCAGATATTCTGAGCCATTCACTGCATACTTCCTACCTGGCAGTGATCCGGAGTTTTTTGTAAAACCTCAGTCTGGAGAACTTCCTCCTTATAACACTAAAGGAATCCTCATCGTTGTAGGATTTAAACCCCGAATGTACAGTAAGAAATACAAAGCAACATTAGTAATAGAGGTGAGTTCTATAATGACAATACTCAAGGATGCATGATATCACTAAAAGCATTAAATGAAGAAGAAAGTGTTTTACCATTGATCAGAGAGAATAGCAACCTTGCAAAAGTCAACTTATTTCAACTGCTGTGTATTATTTTACTTTTCTTTTGTGTAGTAAAAGAATTTAAATATGGAATATAATATAAAGGTTGTCAATACCAGGGGAAAGTTAGAAATCATTTCTCCTCCATACTAAGGAAATGTGGAAGAAACAAATAACAACTGTAAAGTGATATGTATAGCTATGTATCATTTTGTGTAATATAGCTGTTAAAAACATTAACTTTAGATTATTTGAGATAGAAATTTTGGAATCTTTGATTAAGGCATACAATACTGTCAAATGTTGAAACTAAAATGAAGAATATGAAGGTAAATTTTATTTAGAATTGAAAAACATGGTATAAAATGTACTATTTATAAAGGATTCTGTTATTGGCCATTTTATTAATAGTCAAGGCAAATACAATTTTAAAATTTTATCCAATAAGGAAAATTTCTCTATAAGATTTCATATGCATTTTATAGTAAGAACTTTTAGGCCAAAGATATTTTCGTATTATTTTGGAAAAGATACTTATTACCACAGTTTACTTTCAGTAGCACAGACTCAAAAGACATGTTGTCATCTTATAATACACAAATCCTAATGCCAAAGGGATTTCTAAACTTTTATATCAAACAATTATTATGTAGGGCTATAATCAGAAAAATACTGTTATTATTTTAATGAAAAAGAGAAAATGTTGAATAGTATTTGAAAAAGTTATTTCTGATTTTCATCTTTTGAAGAGTATGTACAACCTAAATAATAAAGAAGATAAAGCCTCTTTTGCCTTGCACTGCATATCCCATTGCCTGTATTGGTACTTAAGATAATCATGTTATACTTTCTTATATACTCTAAGGGGATTAAATGGTATCCTTAAAAAGATTTGCAAATTAAAACGGTATTCATTTTATCTAGCATACAATGGGCAGTTTCTTAAATTAACTATTTATCAAGTTTTATGAACAAAATAGGTGCCTAGTTTCCTTGTGATTTGATAATTAAATTATTGGTGGCATAATTAAAGGTTTTATGTGACAATATATGGAATCAACTGAGACTCTTGTCATTTTTAGTTAGTTTGAAGTGGCACAATTTGATAAAGCTTACCTGAGAATCAAATTGAGATTGAAATATGTTTAAGAAATTAGTACTTTGTTGATTCAGTTTTTATTATGGAAAATTCCAAATATGTGCAGAAATATAATAACCTCCATACACTCATCATACAGTATGAACAATTATAAACTCATAGCCACTTCTGCTTCACCTTCACACCCACAGCCTTTCTCACCTTCCACATTAAAGAAAATCCAAAGCATTGTATTATTTGTAAATACTTCCTACTATTCTCTAAATGATAAAAATCATAACCATGCTACCATTATCAGAACAAAAAATTAACAATAATTCCATAGTATCAATACATGTCAATTATCCATTTAGTTTTCAACTTTTCAAGTGAATTCTAAATCTCATATATTTTTAACTTTAAAAATGTACAGACTTACAAGAAGTTACAAAAGTACAGAGTCTTGTGAAGCCTTCCTTGAATTTCCACCAATGGTGACATCTTAATATCTACAGTAAAATATCAAAACAAGAAAACTGATATTGGTAAAAACTCTGTTCATTAGAGACCTTATTCTATTTTTAGCATCTTTTTTTTACATTTGTGCATTTGTGTGTGATTCTAGGCAATTAGAACCCACGTATAAGATGAATATAACTATAGCCAAAGCTAAGAGCTTTTCCACCACCACAGAGGAACTACCTTGTGCTAATCCTTTATAGTTGTGTCCAACACTGAAATTCGTGCCATAACCCTGACATATGTTAATCTTTTCTCCATATCTATAGTTCTGTCACTGATAGAATATTATACAAATGGAATAGTACATTCCATGACCTTTTGAAACTAGTTTTTTATTCTAAGTATAATGCCCTGGAGATTCATAAGAATAATTGTGTATATCAAATCAATGATCTTAAAATCATGGTTCAGTCTATTTAACTCCAAATCCCAGTTCTTAATTTCAACACCATGATGACTCCCATAATAAATGTGAAGACAATTTAAAAAGTTAAATCATATCTAAATGAAAATTATTGTTTACATTATCATCATTTTTTAAATTATTGATTTTAAGCATCAAGTCAATATATGCAGCAATATGATCTTCATTGTGCTTCACTTGGAAATAAAAATGATTTTAAGGGATAGCTTAATTAAATCTTAGGCCAAACAAATCTCAACAATCATATTAGCAAGCTTCATAATTTCTCATGTAATTAAATCATGTTTAGAATGATTAAAAGCTATCTTTCCCAATTAGTAAATAAGGCAAATAGCATTAGCTTTGAGGGACCAAAGTTAACTTGTTCAAAATGTTTTACAAAAATCTGTGTTACTCAGAGAGTAATAAGTCTGTTGAGTTTTCCATAGTGCACATAGTAAATTTTAAATAGTTTACAAAAATGTGAAAACTATCATATTTCTCCAAGATGAAACATATGATGCTTCATCTTTTTTATATAATATTGTACATATATAGGAATATATAATATGTCATATTTATGTGTAAATGCCCATGTTATAATTAGAAACATAACCACATATAGGTACTATAGGTAAATGTTAATTGCTTTTAAAGGAATCTACCATTAGCATAAAACAGTAGAAAATGGTAGTTTAAATATATATTTTGGTTTGTATTTCCTTAGAAGAGTATTCTCAAATAAGAATTCAAGTAGCATAGTTGCTCTGTGATCTCAAGAAATGGGTATAGGAAAGCCAGGATTTGATGTACAGAAGGAAGAAAAATCAGTAAAGGGTGCTTTATCAAGGCATCTGCCACAGTGAACAACTAGAAATTAATCCCATGAGAGACCTCTGGGAAATAGTGTAGCATGCATACCTCAGAATTTTCACACACAACAGGGCCAGGAAGTTAGGGTATTTATGCACTTCTTGATACCATTCTAATCATTGATTGAGAAATGCTTCCAGGGACAATTAATACTTTGATGCCAAGAGAGAATCCTTCTGGAGTTTCTGAAAAACTCTTAATCATGGAGTTGCAGGTACTGACAATGTAAAGTTGGAGCGAACAGAGAAATGGAAACTCCTGAGGGATGTGGGTGGCCACAGACCACTTCTACTAATGAATAATTATCAATTGTCTCCATTCACAGAAAGAAATATGCACTTAAAAACATAACCTTGGTCATTCATTCTATAAGGCTTTGCCTGATCTCTTTTCAGAATATGGAGTCACTACTTACAAGTGAACTTTTCAACTTAGAAAAGTACTACTTTTATTTCTTTAAAAAATAGTTGTAAAGTACAATGATCAATTTAATATTCATTGTAAAAATTAACCCAAAGTTGGGCGTGGTGGCTCATGCCTGTAATTCCTGAGGCAGGAGAATCACAAGTTCAAAG